TTTTAAATTAGTAGTTGTATAGGTGAAGTTATGAACATGTCATCTTCTAATTATTGGAAAAGGGAACGGAGGGCGGCTTTGTGTTTTGGCTGCAGTCTTGTTCTATATGTTGATTTGGTACGTCTCCTTCGTGTTTTTCTCTTAGTTTTGCATCTCAATTTTAGTTTCCTATATAAAGTTTGTGTTTCCTGTTAGGAATTTTTGTTTTGTGGTAGCTTGCATGTATAGAGTTAATTTGTACCTCATTGGTCACTGTGTAATTATGAGAAGAATTGGTTCAGACTCTGTTCTGGTTCAATGATATCTTTTGACCCATAATTGCATTCTTTTGAGTTTGTTCATTTTTATTACAATTACCGTTTGAAAAAAAAAAAAGAATGAGAAAAGTCTACATTTTATTTATTTTGTTAACTATTTATGCAAAAGTAAAACTAGTAATTTTTTATTAAAAAGAGTATAGTTTGGCAATAAACTGATGGTGAATATATAACGGATTGTAAAAATGATCTGAAAATTAAAATTTTTTATAATAATTTTTCTATTTGATCTCACACGCCTGAGTTCTTGAATATTATCAAATATTCGAGAGTGCCTAACCAGCATTTGAAGATATGAACTTCGGTCAAATTGTTGAGAAACATGGATACGTCTATGGAGCTATGCAGTGGGACTCGATTGGTTAGTTACAAAACTCTCCACTCATGTCCTCGAATGTAAAATAAGAACTGGAAATGATGCGGGTGAGAGGGTATACATTGGTACTTTGAATGACGCTAACTCATTTTGATGTTAGGATACCTTCAAGCTCTAGCGAAAACAATCTCCCCTTACTATCCATGCTTGATTAATAAACGGATGAATTAAATTTTGTCGAAAAACAAACGAGATCCAACAGACCTGCATTTGCGAACCTTGAGTTGGCGCTCAATTATATCAAAGTATGTGGTTATAAAATACGTTGGAAAAAGGGATGGCAACCGGTTTTAATAAATTTCGTGATTTTCAGTAAATTAATGAATATATGTTTGATTGAGACACAAGGGATGACAATGACATGAAGCCCACTACGTGCTGTGGTCGTGTATCAATGAGAGTTAGGTGGGTTACATGTGCGTCATCTTAATAAAATGCAATCTAACAAATCGAATTGTAGGTAGATAGATCATATAATAATAATATTTTGGTGCAATTTGAGCTCTGAAACAATCATAAAAAAATCATACCTATATTATAAAATGTTATATTCTTATTTATATTATAATTTATATATGACATTTGAGTATAATATATCTAAATTTATTATATAATATGATTGTCTAATAACTATTACTTAGCCTAACAAAGTACCTACTGAAAAGTGAAATACTCATATGTAAGATAAGGTGAAACACTTGAATATCAACCATAATAAAGGGAGCAAATCTAAGGCGTTATTAAAGGAATAGAGAGTGACTATAAAAGAAAAATAAGGGCTTACACGGTTTGTTTCATGATTTGTATTAAATTGATATATAATGGAACGTGGTCAATCTAATTAGATATATAGAATATAATATCATTTGTGAATTGTCTCACATCGTTTACAAGAAAAATAGACTTAACTTATAAATCTAGTAGGATACTCCTTCTTCCACCAATAGATTTTGAGATGAAATCTCACTTGGACTTCATATAGATCTTTCCTTTTGAAGGGCTTTATCTGCGTGGGACCGCACCCGATTTTACCTCACATGGTATAATACCCAATTGTTCACATTGTTTGTACTTTATAACAGTTCTGACTCATAATGTTATGTAGAGTCCATTAAATTGTTCTTGTTAGTCTAGTCTATATATATAGATTTGATTAGTAATGTGAACAAAGTTTCATTATTGTGTATATGATGGAATTGAATATTGCAAACCAGAGGATGTTTATGTTTGGTGTGAGACCAAATAAAGCTAGAGTAAAATAATTAAATTAATACACATATTATTCTGGCAGTCGTGAGATGTGACTTGTCAGAAGTAAATAAATGAATAAGAAAGTTCAACGTGGCGAAAACATGTACCAAAAGTAATTTTAATAATTTAATTGCAATTGGTACAAAAGTTTTGTCAAAAGTGTTGTCTCATCAAGGAAAAAAAAAAATAGCAAAAGAATTTTTTTAAGGTATACAGTTAAATTTAAATTTATTAATGGTATGAGATAAAAAAGATTTCAACTACATTTAAGGTTATATAAACATAATAGAATATTAATTGATAATGATTTTATATTATAAGTATGTGACAGGAAGAAGTATTTTTAATTAGAAAATACATAATAAATAGTTTTTTGACATAATTATGTCAGTCGAATTGGAAAAAGCAAAGTGCAATGAGATTAAAATAAATTTTTTCGGTTCCAATTTGCATCTCATTGAAATAAATTTTAACTAATCTGATAAAAAATGTTTCATATGATCATATCCAATCCACATCTTGACTTTGTCTAATCTAAATATTAAATATTTAAATCGTTTTAAAGATGGCTCTACCTGCCATTCCCGCAGGAACTCGTGTTTACGTACCTACCTACCCCTTATACACAGTAGTGGAGATTATTTCTTTTCGTTTTAGAAAAAGCAGAAATAAAGAAAGAAATTGTGAGCGTTGCATTATTGTACTGTAGGATAATGCTTGATGACCAAGCATTATAATAACCAGATAAAATAAACAAATTTAATTGTTAGACATGTATACTTTTTTAAAGAAATATAAATATTCAAAATTAATATGTCATACGAATAAAAATGTAAAAATATGACATTTTTCATAGCAGAAATATATATTTTTAATAAAATAGTATAAGTAATCGATCTATCTAAATTCTAATGGGTCTTCTCAAACAAAAAATTATGCTTTAATAAATTCTAGCATGTCAGTGAAATATTCAACGTATACTTCTCTTCCTGGAAATGTCTTGGGCATTGGTAGAAATTGGTTGTTAATAATTAATTAATTATATGCATTTGGGTTATTAAAAAAATAAGTTGACCCCTAATCATATTTAGTTTCGTCAAGTTTTCTAGTGACCTATAATGGGGGAAAACGGATTCTAGCATGTCAGTAAAATATAACGTCAAACTTTTGAGGGACTTCTCTTCCGGGAAATGTCCTGGGCATTGGTAGAAATTGGTTGTTAATAATTAATTAATTATATGCTTTTGTGTTATTAAAAAAATAAGTTGACCCCTGATCATATTTAGTTTCGTCAAGTTTTCTAGTGACCTATTGCCTAATGTAAGAAACGGGTGAAAACGTATGCTGTCTCACTTAGTTTAGTCAAGTTTTCTAGTGACCTATTGCCTAATGTAAGAAACGGGTGAAAACGTATGCGGTCTCACACAGATGAAGCGCACCATAAACAGAGAAAGCCCAAATGAAGCCCAAGTAGAATTCGATCCCAACACCTAAGGTAGGTCTATTTTCAATGTATAAACGATGTGGGATAACTCACTACTAACACCTAAGATTTTAGTGACTTTTGGCTTTCTGATGATAATTCTACCTAAAAGTCATTAACTGAAAGTAATTTAGTAATTATATATGCATACTCTTCATTGCCAATGGATATATTCCTTGCTAATACACCAAATACACCGAGCAGAAAGAAAAATAAACTTTTAAAAAAATACTAACTTTTCATTTATTAACTGAACATTTTAATTAAGAATAATCTAATCTCACAAAGACTTTGAAAATGCGTATAATAGCAGTTATCAAATTTAATGGAAAACACATTCCAGCGGTGTATTTTTGGTGTATTTTTGTTGGAGGTTCAGTTAGAATCATTCCAATGTAAGCTTTACCATTGGAATATCCCTTAAAATTTTCATTGGAATATAATATTGCCGGATTTTCATTGGAATATAATAATTTTCTTTTGTAGTGTGACCTACGGGTCAAGGTTCACTTTTCGAATGTTACCTGCAGCCATTATGCCCACTCATGCAATTCCTTGTTCGTAACCACTTTTGAATGTTATCTGCAATTATGCCCATTCACGCAGCCTCCTTGTACATGAAAAAAAAAATAAAAATAAAAAAATAGAACAGTAGCAATATGTTCACAACCTTCACTCAACAATGGGATCACACACAAACTTTCCTAACATTGTCATGGGCTTTCTCTGTATTTAGACTCGTTAGATGGTGGACTCAACTCATGGGTGGCTTACTAACAGCGGGGATTGCAAACTATACGAGCAACTCACGAGAGCTCGAATTATATATCGGCTCAAGCATCCATTCATATGTATGGTAGAAAAACATTAAAAAACTTAGTTGACCAAAATTATAAATATCAGATTTCACGGAATACGAACAATCGTTCTTTCTCGAATTGCACAGAATGAACTTATATATGTTACGTGAGTGCTTGTTTGCAAGGCCTACTCAATTGCCACGAGGTACAAATATATGAACCATCCCACGATACAGAAAATGATAGCTATATGTCAGTCCCTTTCAATATCATGAAATTCATTCAATCAATTGTTTGCCGAGCTAGAAAAAACATAAAAAATTGATCACAGGTAGTTAAAGCAAATATAAATCACAAAACCATTAATTACCGTATGCTATTGGTCCAGTACTCCAGTAGCTACTAGCCATCCTTCTCTACCAGCCAATCATCTAATGAGTTAAAATCACCAAAAGCAAAAATAAAGTTTGATGTGTCAAATTCACCAACTCTTAAGCTTTGGAAAAGACAAAGAAAAATTAGGCACATCCACAATATGCAAGAAAATTGAACCAATACGCCAAAGCAGCTCATTAGTGTACGATTTCAAGATCATTTTCATACATACAAAACGTTGTTGCTTGGAATCTAGTGTTTGCTTAGTTAATCATCAACTAACTACCATTTCAAGATCAGAAGCTTTTCATCTTAACTGCAAACTTCACGAGAAAACTTGCCATCGTGACGCTCCAATAAGCAGTGAATAATAGGACAATAAACAAATAAATAAAAATAAAAACGAGAAGTTTGTGCGCATGCTGAAAACCACCTCAAAAAGGAAAAGAGTTTGATAAAATGACGAAAATATTCGTGTATTAGTGATACTAAAAGACCGAAAATGCAAGTGGTGGGACAATCCAGGGTTAAGGGATCATAGCACACCAAAACCATATGTCTATATGCAATCGAGCATTGAAAGATGAATCTTAAATGCACGGCGAAAATTCAACCAGAAGGAAAATGAAGTTGTAAATTAATTTAATAGCCAAATGAACCAACCTATTGCCCAGGCCCAAAGGCATTAAAATGCTAACACCAACAAAATGCACAGGAATACGAGCTATATAACATAAATTCAGCAACAGAAAACAGGTAAGAAGCCTACCAAAAGAGTTTGATAAAATTATCACTAGAATCGAAAGCAATTGTCCGATAAGCAGATGGATACAGATCTAACTTGAGGGAGGAGCTCGTCCGGCTGCCTAGCACGTGTACCCTAAACGGATTCGAGATCTCACGGCGGAGGATAATCCCGTGCCATTGAATGTGAGGCGGTCCTTGCCCCGTGTAGGCCTCTATATGAGTGATTAAGGAAGCTTCGACCACATAAGGAGCGTAAAATATTAATAGGAGGAATGAGACGCGACGGCGGGGAGACAGAGAATGTACTGTCTCCGCCGGACGGAGCTGCTTTTGGGTGACTGTGTACAGTAGACAAATCTCAACAGTGCTGTGCTTAATTGAGATATAACTTGAATAAAACGGGTGAGACCAAACCACGCTTTTCACAGTGGCTCGTGGTCCTTACTCCTTCGTTGCAAATTTTGGAGGGAAGGAAATTTTAATACAAAATATTTTGTGTTAATACCACTAACTAGCCATATAAATTTACAAAACACAAATTTTGGCCATGTTTTGTAAAAAACATCTTTTTTAGCCATTTTAGCATGTATTTTTACTACATTACCCTTAACTCAATTTTTTCACATTACTCTTTTCTTTCCCCCCAAATCAATTAATTTCATTTTCAGAAATTTCAATTTAATTCAAATACACTAGGGTTCATCTCCCTCATCTCTCTCTCACGCCCATCACTTCCACCGTCGAGCTTCCATCCGCCGAGCTTCCGATCACCTGCGCCACCGCCCGGCGACCATCGCCCGACCACACTTAGCGCCTGGCGATCTGATTTCCGACGTCGAGCTGCAGCACACCTCCATCCGGCCTCCTCTGTTCACAGGCGCAACCATTCGCGACCTTCCTCCGTCCCGACCATCAACCGGCGACCTCACCCTCGAGTGTGTATTTTATGTTATTTTTTGGATATTGTGTAATCGATCCTTAATTTTATGAGTTCTGTTATCTGGAAATTTGCGTCTTGTGCAGGGTAGATATATTCTCGGCGAAAATGGCGACTCCATAGCTGTAGCTTGGATCAGTCGAAGAGATTTGTAGGAGATGATTTTGGGTGGAGCTCTAAGCCTCAGGTGCCGTTCACGTCCTCACCCAATTTTGAGGTGTGTGTGTATTTTTTTTCTTCTTTTTTCTGTTCTTCAAGACAAACCCTAGTAGAATTTGGTTTAAAGTTATGATTATGGTTGGAAAATGGATTTATACTGAGCAATAGGCTGCTTTTGTAGTGAAGAAAAGAATATAGCTTTGAGATTTAACAATTGTTAAGTGAAAGCTTGAATCTTGACTGACTATTGGAGATGGGTTTGGATCGGATTCTTTGTTCCGAAAGGAAAAATTGATTATAAGAAGCTATAATGAATAATTGTTTGCCCTCTAAAAGCATATGCACATGTGGTTTGTATCATTTTGGGTTTGTTCGCTTCTGTGTTCATTTTATATAAGGGAAGTGAATGGCAATCGCCTTTAATCGAGTCGTTGGACGTAGAATATTTCACTCTATTAGCGGGGGAAGCAGCACCAGTCACGAGAGAAGCAGAGGTAGCACTAGCAGCGGATCCAGTCCTTGATCGAGATTCAAACCCAGTCGCAGTAGTTAGTAGGTGATCCAAGACCGGAGACAAGAGAAGCGGAGGCAGTAGTTGCGCGAGCAGTTCAAGATGCAGCAGGTTAATTAAGAATAAAAAGAAGAACTCGACTTTCGGATCAATCCACTTTCATCGAAAAAGACGGGGTAGAAGCCACTGGGTTTGTAGCTTTAGACGGGTTTAGTCGACGGGTTGGTTTCCGAGGACAGCTTTGTAGCTTGGAGGTTAGCGTTTAGTCGAGACAGCTTTTCCGCTGCTTTCCCGGCATTTTTGGATGACATTTATGTCTAAATTCTTTTTGTAAGGTTCGACTTAAAACGGACAAGAGGAATTCCTCGCCGAATGGAATGTAGCAACTAACTACTAGCTTAGTGAGCAGATCTAACTCTTTGTTGGGTAACTAGAATGGAAGGAAGAGAGAGCCTTGGATTGCTTTCGGCAAGGAACTTTCTCTCTTAAAGATGGTATTCCAGGCCCCTCATTAAAAAGCGCAATCACAGCTGTCGAAGCGAGTGCTCTACTTTCTCCGAGAAGATAGGATTAGGACCAAATTCCCGAGTTTCAATAAACTGTCACGCTTTCAATTGGAATTAGGCACGAATTAGTCCTTACTCGAAAGAGTAAGCAAGCGCTACGCCCCTTTGAAGATGACCCATATGGGGTTCCTACTTCGCCCGCTGTAACTCTTCTTCCGCTGCTTAATCCCTTACGCTCTATTCTCCGTGCTTGTCCGTTACTCCTATCTGAATTTCCCCAAAGACTTCTATTTGTGTAATAAGTTTTCGCGGATTCTTAAATTGAAGACCGAAATATCGTAAGAGAAGAAGTTCGAGTCTAATTTCATTTCTTTTGATTCTTGAAGAAGGAAAGGCTAGCGAGCCAATAAGCTTAGCCATGAGTGGTATCATTTTGAGCCCGCAAAGCAGGTAAACGTCTGGTTTAGTACTTCTAAAAGGATCAATTGATCTTGGCTAAAGGCTCGCTTTGTTATATGCTTAACACATGCAAGTCGAACGTTGTTTTCGGGGAGCTGGGCAGAAGGAAGAAGCGATGAAGGCGACGCTGCTATTGAAGCTACTGTTCCAACTCCCGGGTACTTAACGACTTCAACTGCGGTAGTCGCTTTCCTTTCCAACCTTAGAAGCTGCTCTTCCCACTGGTACTTTAATAGAATCAGAAAAATCAGCATCTGCGGCCCTTGGTTATCCTTAAGGATATTACCAGGCACTGAATGATACCATAGGAATTNAGAGAATAGAGCTCAACTTCATCATATGTAGCATCAAGAATTGGATGAATATTTTCTCCTAGCATTGTCTCAAAATAGTGCAAAATATGATCTCTTGAATAGTATTCCTAACATTGTCTCAAATTAGTGCTAAATGAACTCTTGAATTTCTGTTTGAAGCTGTAAAATTTTGAGTGCTATAAATGAACTCTTTAACTTTTATTTGAAGCAGTAAAATTTTGAGTGTTTCTAGAAATTGAGGATAGGGTGGGCTATGGTAATGATAGTTTTCAATGGCTTATGGTGTTATGCTTCATTTTTTACCAATCTCTTACCCATTTAGCCCTTGTGTGGTATGTCAGGTCATCATGGTATGTAATGTTGTCGAACATTGGGTGGTATGCCGGGTGCGATTATTGGAGTGGGAGATCGAGGTTTATGACTCCTTCATCCACGAGTCAAAATCGTAGGACTGTAATGACCGAGAGCGTCAGTTGACCCCTATTCGATGACTCATTCCCTCACTACTTCCTCGGTCAGGTTATTCTATTGCAATTTTTGCTCATAGTGATGTTGTGAGTAAGGCTTTGTCGAAGAAGAAGAAGAAGAGGAAGAAGTAGTAGTGGCATTTTCCGGTGCTTTTAAACAATATTTTGTACTGCTATTGACATTGTAGAGTATTTCCAGTGGAACTGCTTTCTTTTGTCTTTGTTAGATGTTTGTGGTACTACATTTGTAGGATTTGTTGAGTTTAGTTATGTTTTCTTAGTTTTCTTATACATGGTTTTGTATATAAGGATGTTCTCTATCATTCTCGTGGTCGTTCCCTATCATTATGGATGGTTTAGTTATAAGGATTTGTGGTACTACTTTCTTTTGTCGGTTTCGTCATCATTTTCGCTATCATTCTCGTAACACCATATGGATAAAATGGTTGACCTTTAGCAGCAACTAAGTTAAAAAATCCACCTTGTCCCCCCGCAAAAGCATGAAAATTGGTTGGTGGTTGAGTAGAAAATCCCCTTATATAAAAAGTCTTCATATGACAAACTCCCCAAACGCATAAAATTCATCTCCGCCTGTCCATTTTTATAGACATTGTCATCCCAAAATCCGCTATGCACAATTCGAACTTTTTCACATGACATCTATAAAAAAAGATACAAAAGTATTTTAGTGACAAACAATGTAAAAAAATACATGTCTTATATATGATTCGATGTATTATATAATAAAACAAATAAAATTTGAACCAAAATCGAATTCTGGGATCATGAAATCGTTTCTAGACCCCAGAAACGATTTCTGGGGTCCAGAAATCATTGGAAACCAGAAATTATTGCTGGACCACAGAAATAGTTTCTGGACCCCAGAAAACGATTTCTGGATCACAGAAATCGTTTCTTGTCCCAATTCCGAGTGAATCCCAGAAACGATTTCTGGGGTCCAGATACGATTTCTGATCATTTTTTGGAGCACAGAAAACCAAAAAATGATTTCTGGTTTCAGAAATCGTTTCTGGACCCCAGAAATCATTTTCCGTACACCAGACATCATTTCTGGATCCCGGAAATCATTTCTGTACCCCAAACATCATTTCTGATCCCAGAAATCGTTTCTGGACTCCAGAAACGACTGAGGTCCAGAAACAATTTCTGAAATCAGAAATCGATTTCTGGAATCAGAAATCGATTTCTGGAATCAGAAATCGTTTCTGAAACCCAGAAATCGTTTCTGGACTCCAGAAACAATTTCTGAGGTCCAGAAACAATTTCTGATTCCAGAAATCGTTTCTGGAACCCATAAATCGTTTCTTGACTCCAGAATTGATTTCTGGTCCAAGAAATCGTTTCTGGAGCCCAGAAACGATCATTTCTGGAGCCCAGAAACGATTTCTGGACCCCAGAAATTGACGATTTCTAATTTTTTTTTAAGAAAAATAGATAGTAAGGGTATTTTGGTATTTTTAGGTGCCAAAATGGCTAAAAAAGATGTTTTTCCAACAACATGGCTAAAATTTATGTTTTACATTTCTACTTGGCTAAAAAAAAAATCACTGAAATATTTTTCCCATCACTTTGGCCTCTTCTCAAGTTTTATTAAGGTTAATTGCCAAAAAAACCCTAATCTTTTGCTTAATAGCAAATAAAACTTAACCTTTTAAATTTTGCAACAAAATCCAAACATTTATTAAGTATTGCATAATTGTCTCAAAACTGAATTCCGGCAAAGGGGCGCTGACATGTCCGATCGGAAAATTAACGTGACACCTAAAATGTAATAGTCAGTGCCACGTCATCAGACACGTCAACCTCCAAGTCGCACCCCCAACCACGTCACCTTGCCAGTTTTCTTCCCCGTTTTCTCAAAAAAAAAGAAAAAAAAAAAGAAAAGAGCAACAGGTGAGGCGCTTTCTTCTCCACCGATTCACCTCCAAATTTTGCTGCGAATTCATGGCTTGATTCACCACAAAAAAACGAGTTCACCATATGCTTGGGGAATCAAGAAGTGGTGCTTCAAATCAACCACGAATCCACGAACCCTAACAGGTGACCCGCATGAGTCCACCGGGAGTGACCAGCCTCTATGCGTAGGCTTTGTTGTAGCACAAATTGTTATTTTTACCGAGTACCGAATCGAAAGATTCGTTCCCCGGGTCAATATCACGAGGAAGACGGTTCGAAATTCATCTTTGGTATCGATCACACATAAAAAGAAAATAAATCCTACACACTCTAATCAGATAAGGGATTGAATAATTACCAGCTAAAAAATAATATAAAAACAATAATCTACCTAAAAATATAAACAAAACAAAGACGGAAAAGCTAGTGAATCGGGGATAATTTATTCAAGTTCTTAGCAAAATCGGGCAATTAATCGTTCAGTTTGAGATTGACACTCTCGCTTAGACATCTAGCGGTTCGCTCCCAATAACTCTTCGTAATAAGAGATTGAACATAGACGAGCTAGCTCGAGCATACAGCACATGTCAATTATCCCAGTCCCAATAACTTTTCGTAACAAGAGACGGGTCATTGACAAGTACGTATTTCAATCCAAAACCTACAGACTATTCAGTTACGAAATCATCTATCTCATGCGAGCCTAGATCTACGACTTCTCCCCTTTCGGTTAAAGTCGCTAATTCAATTAGAAGATGTTTAATCAACTAATCATATAAAATCAACAAATTCTAACTCGACAAATCAATATTCAATCGTTACCAATTGCAAGATCGAAGTGTCACCCTTCGATTATATCAAACTATCAAGCACAAATTCATCAATTCCGAACTAAATCAACTCACATAAGCATGAACAAATCAAAGCCCCAAAAATATAATTTAAACAAGAATAATCATCCCATATCCCTAGCAACAGGAATTAGCTACGCAAATTGAATGCAACACAATAATTCATTTCTCCTAATTCAATCATTATTCATGAATTAAACAAGAGAGAAAAGAAACTAACCAATAATCTCAAATCCAAATGTTGAATACGAATTACAAGCTTATTCCCTAAACACTCAGAAGAAGAAGAAGAAAAAGAAATGGAAAATAAAGGTGAAGGGAAGAAGAAAAAAATGAAGAAGAAGGAGAAAAAGAAGTAGGGAGGAGAAAGAAGATGGAGCTGGGCGATTTTGGGGGTAGGGTTCGTCCCCAGCCGAGAGAGAAGCTGAAAATAGAGGTCTGGGCGTTCTTATAGCAGCAGGGCAAGCTGGCACGGCGCGGCACTGGGAGGCCTGGGAAGTCTCAATAGGGGTCGCGGAGGCGCCACGGCACGGAGAAAGGCCGTGCCGCGCCGCGGAGAGTGCCTCACGCCGTGGTGGCTGATTCCTGCACTGACTATTTTGCTTTAGGGGCTCGTTTGGGCTCGTCCGAACTCGGAATTGGCTTCCGTTTTTTCCTACGCATCGCTAACAAATCCCTCTATCCAGTGATACTTTCATGACCAGATTTTTCCACTAGTACAATCCTCTAGAGTTTCCAACCTTCAAAGGATCGGCATCTTGCTGGACTTTACGTTTCGGCCCCGTTCGGATTCGTCTGAACTCGAAATCGAGTTCTGCTTCTTCCTAAATGTAGCTAACGAACCCTTCTACTCATCCATGCTTGCCAGGTTAGATTTCGGACTAAATTCATTCCTCACGCGGCTTTCGACCTGCACACATCAAACAAGAAGAAAACGTAGAAAACCGACAAAAAACACGAAAAACACATAAAAACCAAAATATAGTGTTGTGTACAAATTGTTATATTTTTCCGAGTACCGAATCAAAGATTCATTTCCCGGGTCGATCTCTCGAGGAAGGCGGTTCGGAATTTAGCTTTGGTAATGATAACACATAAAAAGAAAACAAAATCCTAAGAGGATGCTTGGATACAAAATTTATCCAAAAAATCCAAACATTTTTAACTCAACCACTTTTTTTAACTCAACTTTAACTCAACACAACTATCATTAATATTATTAATATAATTAAATAATATCAACCAATCATTCTTACATATAACATCAACCTTAATTCACTATTCATCCACTCACATAATTTTAACTAACCATCACTTCAAATCTCTCTCTCATACTTTTACATCAAATCAACTTTAATTATTTTATTTTAAATATTATTTTAATATACCCACTAACAACTAACTACATCACTTTTTTCAAAATTAACCAAACTAAACCAAAAAATCCAAACAAATCCAAAAAATTTTATATCCAAGCATCCTCTAAACACTCTAATCAGAAAAGGGGTTCGAATAATTACTGTCTAAAAAACAATAAAGAGCAATAATCTACCTAAAAATGTGGATGGAACAAAGATGGAGAAACTAGGGAATCGGGGATAATTAATTCAAGTTCTAGCAAAGCCGGGCAATTAATCGTTCGGTTCGAGATTGACACTCTCGCTTAAACATCTAGAGGTTCGCTCCCAATAACTCTTCGTAACAAGGGATTGAACATAGACCAACAAACTCGAGCATACAACACAAGCCAATTATCTCAATCCCAATAACTTTTCGTAACAAGGGACGGGACATCGACAAGCACGTATTTCAATCTCAACCCATAGATTACTCAGTTACGAAATAATCTATCTCATGCAAGCCTAGGTCTACGACTTC